GCTGTAAACAACCAAACATGGTTTCAGCTCAGGGGAGAGTGTCAGCCAATCACAGCTGTTAACACTACTGACCACCTGGTAGGGTGGTTAGGCTGTGCCCTCCTGAGGCTATATGTCATTGTCTTTTTAGCCCTCTCTGGGCAAACTGCCCATCATGTTCTCCAAGGCGGAGCCCCGGCCCACAGCCAATGAGAGCCAACGACAATTTCTGGGCACTCTCAACTTTTGGGCAGCCAGTTGTCGCTGCATGGAAGCAATCAGAATTTCTAAGGGAAACCTGATCTTTCTATCAGTTGCCACTACTTATACAGCAGGCCATCTGGTCAACTGCTGATCATCTTGTCCAGGCTGAAGGGGTTGGGAGCCTTGTGCCAGCAGGAACTGCAGGCCAAGAGGAGCCATCCTCACCCCAAGACACTTCCATTCAGGCCCAACCACCTCAGGTGCCTTCCCTGTCCCAGTTCCTCACCCTTTCTACAGAATCTACCTCGATCTGGACCTTCCCTGCACCAGTGGCCTGCGCACTATTTATTGGTCTATCAATTTCCCCTCTCCCAGAGAAATAAATCATGTTTAATAATCTGGATGAATGGGGTAGTTTGCAGGGGTGCCATGTAATTTTTACTAAGGTGTCTTATGCGCTAGAGGCAGCATTTGGGGATGAGGGGAAATAGGAGGCGCTGGGTTGCAATGAGGGAGGAAGACTACGTTCTAGGAGGGAAATGGAAAAGTGTCTTCCCAGAGGAAGGTCAGAGAGAAAATAGAGACCCACAACCTGGAACAACACACGCCCTGCCTAGTGAGAGAGAGAGACCCTTGTACAAGGACAGAGGGGACTGGAAACCCAGCTCCTGGTTCTTCCCCAGTATCTGAAGGTTTACTCTCCAGAGGAATCCTGAGACTTAAGACGGACGGGCCCATGGCCTTGGGGCCCCTGGGTCCTGTGTTCGAGTTTAGAAGCACCTGGGGACCTGGAGCTGGACATTCTGAAGGTGGAACTGCTGGTGGTGGGGCTGTCCCAGCTTCTGGAGACATCAGGCGTGAGCAGCCTGGGTCCCTGGAGGAGGGAGGATGGAAGGAAGGAGGCAAAGGCAGGCAGTTAAATGGTTTTATTTCCTGGAGGCGGGTAAGAAAAGGGGCCTGGATGGGCTGGGCCACAGGGCAATGTGCAGCGCTCACTCCCGCTTCCGCAGGTGGATGTAGATGACGCCACTGGCCAGGGCGAGGGGGAAGGCCACCCAGGCCAGTGCAAAGCAGTACCCAAAGCTGCCCCCAGGCGGATGCTTCGCCAGGATCTCCTCAGCGTGAATGGCATAGATCAGCGCCCCGGTGAACACTGCCACGCCTGTGAGGGGACAGGAACCAAGTGTCACTCCATTTCCTCAACAAGACTGCATATCCCAGCAACCCATGAGGCAGAGAAGCCTCCGGAGGGCAAGTGGGCTGGGAGTTGTGGTTCACTCCCCCAGCTCCACGCAGCCAGGCTACTGCAGATGGGCCTTGGACACTTTACTCACTGTGTCCCCTTATCCATACAATGGGATGATACTATCTGCTCATCCATACATACAAGGAATATTTTTTAGTGTTTTTCTCTCAAGCACACAAAGAGTGAATTAATAAAACAAGAGAGGAATTTGCAGGTACTTAGATAATGTTCCCCAAACTGAGGATTATGAATAACTTGGTCCTTTTTACCTGAAGTCAAAAAATTTAAAAGTACATAAAACTCCCTGAAGTGTCTGATACATGGTAGATCCACCAGAAACAGCAGCTGACTGTGATTGTAATTATGAGACCACTATTATGATTCAAAGTTCTGAGGTATTAATTAGCCACCTGTCCCCAATTCCCTCCACCTCCATGCCTGGGATTTAAATTATTTGCCCACACTACCTTCCTCAGCTCTGGCTCCTTGAAGCCCCAAGTGCCAACTCCCTCATGACTCAGAGACACAAAACACCACTGAGTCACTAAAGACTATAACTCCTGTAAGTCCCTGGGGACAGAGAAGTGCCATGAAGGCACCTCAGGTGGTCCTTGGGCTCTTGAGAATTGTTTCCTTTTACCAGATGTTCATTCTCCAGGTCCCCAGCATCCTGATAGGCCCCCTCCCTTCCTTTCAATTCCCAGGGAACAGTGCTCACTGGTGCAAAGCTGGCAGAGGCCAGTGGCGTAGAAGAGCCCTCCTCGCCGCATGGTGTAGAGTTGAAACATGAACAGGATGAAGGACAGACAGCAGAGGATGAGGGAAAGCACCATGAGGACCTGCACCGCCTTCAGCCAGCCTGCAATAAGGAGGAGACAGAGGTGGAAGTCACGGCAGGTCCAGAGTTCCAACTCCACCTTCCTGCCCATCATCTGAACAAGCCCCGCCCCAGCCCCCAGTTTAGAGGCGTATAAGTTTGGATACTTAGGAGTATCACATTATCAACTTTGACTCCTGTAACTTTGCTAAATTCCCTTATCAGTTTTAGAAGCTGCTTTGCAGAGTCTTTATGATTTTCTACAGAAACATGTCCACGGGGAATAGAGACATTTTTACTTCTTTTCCATCTTTTTGCCTTTCCTCTTTTTTTCTTGCCTTGTTGCATTGGCTACCTCCAGTACAACACTAGATATAAGTCATGAGAACAGAAATTCTTGCTTCACTCTTAGGGTAAACTCATTTCATCTTTCACCTTCTTTAACTTAGAAATTTTAATGGATTCCCCTTTAGAACTCATATGCATCTGCCAGTGCCCCCTCCTTTAGAGCCTTGGAAGGATTCAGCCCCACCTTCTTAGAACCTCAATGTGGTTCCAGCCCCACCCCCTTGGAACTTGGACAAACTGGTCCCAGCCATCCATTCAGAACACCAGTCCCATCTCCTTAGAACTTTGGAAACATAACCTTATCTTCTCAATCTTGGGACCATTCTCCCAATTCCTTAAACCTACAGCATGTAGCCTCCACTCTTTCTGAATCATAAGGGAGGGGGGCTTTTAGCTCATCCTCTTTAGAACATGAGCATATTGCTCCCTACCACCAAGATAGGTGGGTCATACATCGGCCCCACTCACTCAGCATTGGAAACCAGACCCACCCACTCAAACCTTGGCAGGTTTCCAATCCTTGGTCCCGGAGAAGAGACTTGGGGTTACCCCTCTCCTTTGCATACCAGTCCCCAATGCCCCTCACCATTCTCGCTGACAGTACTGCAGGCCCATGTCTTGTTGTCATTGATCCATGTGCAGTCATACCAGAGATTCAAGGACTCCTTTCCAGGGAGGGTCCACCAGGACTGGGATGGACAGAGAAACAAGGGTAGAGATAGGAAAGGAAATCGGGAGAGGTCGGGGAGCCTTCAGGAAGGTTTAGAAAAAGGGCGTGGTGCCCAGAAGGGGCTGATCTGGGGAAAACGGATTTAGTAGGAAAGGGAAGGGCGTCTGGGGAAAGGGCAGGGTGGTGGCATCAGAGGCAGATGCTAGGGAAAGGGGTGGGGTGGCCTACCTCTCGAGGAGGGGAGGGGGGGTGTGGGGGACCCACCGAGTAGGCTTACCTTGTCCAGAGTGGCCACGAAAAGCAGTATGAGAATGAGGATGTGAAGGGCGGAGACCACCAGCAGGAGCAGTGACATGGCTGTGGGGGACACCTGGGGTGGGGGACGTCAGGAGGTGCTTGTTTCAAGAGGTTGGCACAGGGGCGGGTGAGATGCCCAAATCCTCCTGGAGAGAGGGGCTGAGTCCAGACTCTTGGGTCTGAGGGAGGAGGGGGCCAGAGGCCAGGACTCCTGAGTCCGAGGGAAGAAGAGCCTGGAGGCCCGGACTCCTGAACTCCCCAGGGACTGGGGGGGGGGCCAGGGTGGCTCCGAGTTCAGGAGTGAGTAGAGCCAGCAATGTGCTTCACTCCGTGTGCTCAGAGCCCTTTCCCTGGGTGCATGTGGATCAGGATGTGAAAATGCAAGCTGAAGCCCCTCCAGATTCATCAAAAGCTGTTGGTGCCCCTAGGGACAGGCATCCTTGACTCACCCCACCCCTCTCCTGGGGGGGGAGGAGGGGTTCCCGGTGAGTCATCAGTGACTCATTCCAGCCTCCAGCCTCCAAGTACCAGGGAAACCCCAGGCCCAGGCCTTGCCCATGAGGTCCCCACCACACCCAGCTGCCAGACTGGTGCCTGCTGGGCACCTTGTTGGGAAAATGGACAGGATCTGTGTTTGGGAAGAGAGGCCTGAGAAGAAGGAACCAGCCTCCCACCACCATTCAGTGTCCAGAAAGGGGAGGGGGCCTGGAGGTGGTCTAGACTTGGGGTGCCCTCATGCAAAGGCCCGCTCTCCCAGTCCCCAGGGGAGAGTGGACATCCGTGGGGAAAAATTGCCGGACATTTTCAGGTGGAGGGCTCTGCTGGGAACCCCCAAACCTTGCTGGGCCCCACCCCTTCCTGAATCTCCACCCCAAGTGCTAAGAGACCACTTCTGAAATTACAAGGATTTCCATGGGGGTGTCCTTCCCAAACGTCTGCACTCCCAAGTAAATAAAGAAATCCCAGTCCGGATAACGGACTGGAAACTTACCGAGAGCGGCAGAAAAAGTCAGAGTTGGAGTCTGTCCCTCGCTCCGGCCTCCGTGCCCCGCCCTTCTCCTCCCTCCTTCCACCCTCTCGAGGCCCCCGCCTCCCTCGCCGCCTCCCTCCCCTCTGGCTCTCCGTCCTACTCCCCTCTAACCCTAGAACCCTCTCTCCCTCCTGTTTCCACTGCCTGTAACTTCTTTCTCTCTCTTCTCACTCTCCCTCTGCTCCTATCAATATATACCGACCCTTTTATACCCACCCTCGCCGCACCCAGCTGAGGTCTGCAGCCAGAGGGAGGGCCCAGGCGCTGGGTTCTTCATTCTCTGAGCCCGCCCACTGCCCCCAGACACGAATCTTTTGGGGCTGCTTCTCAGAGTTGAGAGAAGTCGTTGGAGGGAGCAGAGTGGAGCCGGGGCCCTGGGGTGGGGCAAGCATCAGGGGGTGGGAGGGCCTGATTCTCAGGCCTCCACTCTGGGTGCTGTCCTGGGACCTGGGACCTGGGACCTGGGACCAGATGTCTGCTTTCCCTGGTGGAGCTGAGGACAGGATACTCAGAGGGATGGGAGCCTGAGGGAGGAGGCCAGGTTCCTGCAGTGCCGAGTGGGCTGAGGGCGGGTGGAGTTGGCACCATGGGGGAGGGGAGTGTCCGGGGATGGTAAATGGGGAAGTGGGAAACTCTGGAAGTGGGCAGTGGGTGGAAGTTAAGAATCCCAGCACCATCATTTCCTGCCTGGGGGACCTTGACCAATTATGTCAACTCTGTGAGCCTCAGTTTCCCAATCTGTGGGTATAATAATACTAAAATACTGACAGTACATTAATACCGATAATAATAAGTCTGCTACTTATTCTAAATGAGTGAGGTAATATGAGTACATTAATACGCCTAACACATTCATTCCTTTCTCCATCAAACATTTATTGAACATCTATTATGAACCAGGAGTTAATGAGAAACATACATGTGAGCCCACTATTACTGTGGAGCTTACCTTCCTAGTAGAGGGAGACAAACAATAAAGAGAAAACAATAAAAAAGAGAAATTTCAGATAATGAGAAATGCTTTGAAGGAAATAGAGTAATGGAGATAATGATGGTGTGGGGGGAACCTACTTTAAACGGGGTGATCAGGCAAGGCCTCTCCAAGGAGCTGACATCTGAGCTGAGACCTGAAGACAGGAGCCATTTGAATGCTGGGCGAAGAGGAAGTGCAAAGGCTTTTGAGAACAAGCTCAGGTTGTTTGGGGAGCAGACAGAAGGGCCAGTGTGTCTGGAATATAGGGAGCTAGAGGGAGGGTAGGAAGGGAAATCAAAGAGGGCCCTTGAAGACTAGGGGAGGAGTTTGGACTCTATTCTAAATGCAACGGGAAGTCATTGGAAGGCTTTAAACGGAAGTGCAGTGCCAGGGACTTAATGTTAACTATTATTATTATTATTATTAATTCTGGATTATTGAGTTAGGGTGGGGGGGTGATGACTTCTAGGTCCTTGGGTCTCTTAAAAAGGCTGGGTGATGGTGAATAATGAGGGACAGGGGTCCTGATACGGAATTGAGAGCTGGAGAACTGAAATTCTGGGTCCCTGCATGTCGGGGTATCTGATGGGACCAGAGCTGGGGGAGGGCAAGTGGTTGGTCATGTGGGCTCCCTGAGGGCAGTTCAGTGACTGGATGGGTACTTGGGGAGGCCTGGAAGCTGGGGTACCAGTATAGCACAGACTCTAGAAACACACTGGCTGATTCAAATCCAAGATGCTTTACTCACTAGCTGTGATTTGGGGTAAGTTACTAATAACTTCTCCATGCCTCAGTGTTTCCATCTGTAAGATAGGGATAATAGTGACTGCATCATAGGGTAGCTCTTATAGTAGTGCCTGGCACATCGTAACTGCCAGGCACTGTTGTGTCAGTTATACCAGGTATTGGGGTCCCGAGTAGATTCAGTACTGGGGGACCCTAGATCAAGGTCTTAAGAATTTGGGGAAGGGGCAAATTCTTGGGTCCCAAGACTAAAAAGTTGGAGGGTCCCTCGGGTTGAGGAAAAGGTAAGTAGTCTCAAACTTAAATCTCTGAGGATAGAAACTGGGAGTCTGAAACCAAGACCCCAAGCAAGTCAGAAAGTCTGGGTCACTGAGGGAAAAATTAGGGGCTAGAGGTCACATGCTTGTCAGGGAGTGCAGGCCAAGGGGCTGGACGTGGTCTGGGGAGGGGTCTAACTAGGAGTTAGGAGATGGAAATTTGAGCGGGGTAGGCGAGCAGGGCGTAGGGCTCTGAATCGCGTTCCCTGAGTGGCATCAGCGCCATACTGGCGTATCCTGGGGATGTCCAGGGGGTCCCCCGTGTTAGGGCCCTGTGGAAGGGGAAGAATCAGTAGACCTGAGAGCGGTGGAGGGATCTCCCCTTCTTGGGCCTCCTGCGCTACGAGCTGCGCGGAGTGCCCGCGGGCCGCTTCCTCCCACAGGAAACCGCAGGCGTCAGGCACACCCAGCCTTCGGGGAGCGTCGCCCACTGCCCGCCCTCTCCGAGGAGGCCCGGGTGGGTAGCAGCCGTCCGTTGAGGGGCGGGCCCTGCGAAACGACGGGGGTGCGGCCTCGTGGGGCGTGGCCGGAAAACGGGGGCTGGTCCGGCGCGCGCGAGGCCACGCCCACTTCCGCCTCTCTAAGCCGGCTCCAGGCTGCAAAAAGGGTTTTGGCCGCACCCCTGGAGGCCGTTGGCTGCGCGTGCGTAGTGAGCCGCTGCGAGGACCTGAGGTGGTGGTGGTGAGCGTTCGTTCCCCTCACAACTCCAGTCGTTGGCACCGCCTCGCTGCTAACGAATCCTCCAAATAACGTGGTTTTAATCAGCTTAAGACATGTTACCCTCCCAGGCCTGCCATCACAGGCTCTTTCGGCTCCTGCCTCCCACTCCCGGACACACACAGCCCGCCCCTCACAGGCCCGTGCTCCCGGGAAGACCATTCCGACCACCCACAGGCCCTCCCAGCCCGAGCGCTGCCTGGTTAGCCCCGGCCCCTCAAGTCTCGGGAACCGGAGTCCTCCCAGCGCTCTCCGACCGGGATCCTCACCGGGTCTTCCAGCCACGCCCCTAGCCGGCCCCTTAAGCCCCGCCCCCTCGGGTACCCGAGCC